ACACACACACACACACACACACACACACACACAGTGGGTATAGAAAAGATGATTCTGTTTTATTTTTTTTTCTTTCTGACATGTTGGTGTTACATCTTCCACTTTACTGTGGCACTTTAAGGGACATTACTGGACCCTTACTTGATCCCCTGCAGTTTGCTTACCGAGCAAACAGGTCCATGGATGATGCAGTCAATATGGTACTGCACTTCATCCTGCAACATCTGGACAAAACAGGGACTTATGTGAGGATCCTGTTTGTGGACTTTAGCTCCGCTTTCAACACCATCATCCCAACACTCCTCCAGACCAAACTAACCCAGCTCTCTGTCCCTAGCTCTATCTGTCAATGGATCACCAGCTTTCTGACAGATAGGCAACAGCTAGTGAGAATTGGTAAATTCACATCCAACAGCCGCACCACCAGCACTGGCGCCCCTCAGGGTTGCGTCCTCTCCCTACTGCTCTTCTCCCTCTACACCAACGACTGCACGTCTAAAGACCCCTCTGTCAAGCTCCTGAAGTTTGCAGATGACACCACACTCATTGGCCTCATTCAGGACGGTGACGAGTCTGCTTACAGACAGGAGGTTAAAGAGCTGGCTGTCTGGTGCAGTCTTAACAACCTGGAGCTTAACATGCTCAAAACTGTGGAGATGATCATGGACCTCAGGAGAAACCCCCTGCGCTCGCCCCCACTCACCATCATTGACAGCACTGTAACGACAGTGGAGACATTCAGGTTCCTGGGCACCACTATCTCTCAGGACCTGAAGTGGGACAATCACATTGAGTCCATTGTTAAAAAGGCCCAGCAGAGGCTGTACTTCCTTCGCCAGCTGAGGAAGTTCAACCTGGCACAGGAGCTTCTGAAACAGTTCTACTCTGCCATCATTGAATCCGTCCTTTGCACTTCTATAACTGTCTGGTTCAGCTCTGCTGCCAAATCTGACCTCAGAAGACTTCAGCGGATAGTCCGGACTGCTGAGCGAATCATTGGTACAACCCTCCCTACTCTCCAAGAACTGTACTTATCCAGAGTGAGCAAAAGGGCTAGCAAAATCACTCTGGACCCCTCACACCCAGCACACTCTCTCTTTGAACTGTTGCCGTCTGGTCGGCGCCACAGAGCACTGAGCACCAGAACGACCAGACACAGGAACAGTTTCTTCCCTCAGGCAATCCATCTCATGAACACTTAAAGGGATAGTTCACCCTTTTCAAATGAAAATTCTGTCATTAATTACTCACCCTCATGTCGTTCCAAACCTGTAAGACCTCCGTTCATCTTTGGAACACAAATTAAGATATTTTTGATGAATTCCCGAGAGCTCTCTGACACTCCCATAGACAACAAGGATCCTAACACGATCATGGTCCAGAAACATAGTAAGGACATTGGTAAAACAGTCCATGTGACATCAGTGGCTCAACTTCAGTTTTGCGAAACTACGAGAATACATTTTGAGCGCAAAGAAAACAAAAATAACATAATTTATTCAACAATTCTTCTCCCCTGTCTTCCACCATTTTAGAGTATCACAACACATACGCACACTTTCCCCTAAGCATAAACAACGCTGATTACGCAGATTACGTTCATACGCGCGCTTTCTCCTCCGAACGTAAACAACGCTGATTACGTTGATTACGCTTCTGGGTACTCTCCAAAATGACGGAAGACGTTGTGTTTATTGAACTAACCCTTTAACAATAAACGTGGAACACACAACACTATTATACATTATTTA